GCGACCGGCATCGGCGGCGGCCTGTTGACAAGCGGACACTGCAGGTGTTGTGGGGGTCGGGGATCGAGTATTACGTAATATTGCTCATGATAATAATTAATGGCATGCGATTAGTATAATAATAATTCCGATTAATAATTATGATATGGGAAAGTGTATGCTCAGGGAAACATTAATAATATTAAATAGTGACAAAATTCTGTGACGTTACACCATACACCATTGATCCTTCTTACGTGGGACACATAATGACCATATCCATAAGATACCATTCCATGGAGTATATAACTGAAACATCAAAACATTAATTTTAGGATTGCATAGTATATATTTTATATAGATGTTTCGCTAATGACTTACTAGCCACATTCCTTTTACATCCATGTAATAACTTATAAATAAATACATAATATATTTATTTATTTTATAATTTTGTTTTTTATAATTCTTTAACTTACGTCTTTGTATTCACTTTTAGTATTGTAGGATATTCTAGAAGCTTAAATTGACTTTTATCAGCAAAGACATCTGTCTCGATGAAGATGTGTTGACATAGATCCTTTGTTGATGAAGCATTTTCATCTTCTAGTAGATATTGATGAAATGAAGTAATAATGATATTGATATTTTAACAATAATTCATATAATTGGTTTCAATTTATTTTAAATTAGTTGAATATGAGAGGTACCAGTTATAGAACTAAGCGTCAAAAGATCCAAAAAGAATTGGATTATTTAGATACTTCTGAATACAATGAAATACCACCTTCTTCAAAAATTTGGAACCATCGGAATTGTTTAGTCGTGAATTATTAAATGATGATTGTGAAATCGAAGAAAATAATTCATTTCTCAAATTGCCAGTTTTGGATGATCATTTGTTAAAAAATAAAACCAGCACTTTTGAAGTTCAATGTCCAAATTTGCCAAATTCAGTTGAATATAATACTAATGATATTACTATTATAGATCCTCCAAATAACTATCAAGATTCTATGCAAGATATAATAAAACAAAAGTTAGGAAAATGATCAATAGATTTTAATATACCTCAAAATGCAGTAAATGCATTGTTAAAATTATTAAAAAGTGATGCTAATATGACATTTTTACCTAAAGATTGTAGATCGTTACTTAATTCAAGATCTTYCACATTACTAAATATACATGATATGGTACCAGGTAATTATTATAATTTTGGTTTGGCTGATGGCATTTTAAGATTTTCATCAACATTACCTCTAGAAGACATAATAAGACTTGCTATTGGTATTGATGGTCTGCCATTATCAAAAAGTAGTGCAAGCCAATTTTGGCCAATTTTAGCCTATATTCAGCCATACCATAAATATGTTTTCTCTATTGGTATATATCATGGATATCAAAAATTAAAAGATAGCAATGACTATCTTAAATATTTTATTTCAGAAATCATACAATTGAATACTGAAGTAATAGTAATTAATAATGTTGTAAAAAATTTTCTATTGATGTATTCTGTTGTGATTCACCAGCAAAGGCATTTATATTASGCATTAAAGGTCATTCGGGATTTTCTTCTTGCTCTAGATGTAATCAAGGAGAGTTTATTTGTAATCGTGTGTGTTTTCCATATATTGAAAATGGTTGTAATAAACGAACTCATGATRAATACATTTCAATGACAAATGAAGAACATCACACTTCACCTTCAATATCATGTCTTTCTTTAATACCCAACATAAATATTGTAGATCTCTTCTCTATGGATTACATGCATTTGGTTTGTCTGGGTTTAATGCGTAAGCTTATTTTTCTGTGGTCAAGTAAAGGACCAATAAATATTCGTATTCCAAGTTGGAAGAGTAAACAAATTACCACATCTCTTCCAAGCTTAAAAAAAATATATAACTAATGATTTTTCTCGCAAACCAAGACCACTGGAAGATGTTTACCGTTGGAAAGCAACAGATTTTCGACAGTTTCTTTTGTACACAGGAATAATAGTACTTAAGAATGTTATTTCTGAAGATTGCTATCAAACTTTTTTAGCTCTCAATATTTCTATGAGAATTATTTTGAGTGATAATCATTTAAAATATTTAAAAACGTATTCACAGGGTAGCGTAGTTCTAACCCTTTCCAGGGACGTATTTTTTATAGCTGTAGGGCATATGGTTTATTTTACTAGTAACTAAAGCTACAAATAATTATAAAACTACAAAATATCAAAAAAATATGGTACTTTTCTGTTATCCCTACTACCGCTCGATGTCGAGACTACCGCGACTTCTCAATTCTGTTATCTC